ATGGTATTAAAAGCGAGCATTTGAAAATTATAGCCGAGGACATAACAGAACCACTCACTTATCTAATCAACAAATGCTTTGAATCTGGCATATATCCCTCAATTTTAAAAAAAGGTAATATAATACCGATACATAAATCAGGAACAAAAACAGATGTTAACAACTATAGACCAATATCAATAATATCCAGTGTAGCAAAGGTTTTTGAAAACGTTTTATCTACTAGCATGATTCGATACCTCACAAAATTCAAAATTTTAAGTGAAAATCAATATGGATTTACAGAAGGGAAGGCTACATCGGACGCAATAACTAAAATTGTGAATCAAATAGATCAAAATATTGATAACAGAATCCCTTCAATCTGCATTTTTGTTGATTTAAAGAAAGCTTTCGACACAGTTAATCACAAATTATTATTATAAGCATTGGAGAGAATTGGTTTCAGAGGAAACGCGTACTCACTGATCGAAAGTTATTTGTCAAATCGCCCACAATCTGTGCAGATATCAGGATCATTTAGTAAAGAAATGTATCTTAAGTGTGGTGTCCCACAAGGAACTGTCTTAGGTCCGCTGTTATTCAATATATATTTAAATGATATTTTCCAAATTAATTGTGTTGGCAAAATAACTAGTTTTGCAGATGATACTGCAATATTATATGAAGGCACTGACTGGTCTGATCTGAAAAATGTAATTGAAAATGATTTTATCAAAATTATTCGGTGGTTTAACAGTAGAAAATTAAGCATTAACTACTCTAAAACACATTTTTTACCATTTGGATCTTATTCTAGACATCTGCCAAATTACACAAATTTCTCCTTCAACATTAATGATCAAAAAATGCAAATTAATAGAGTGTCCAGCATAAAATACCTTGGAGTGGTCTTGGATCCTCACTTACGATGGAACATCCATGTCAATTATATTTTAAAGAAAGTTAGATTTGTATCCTACAAAATTAAATACCTTGGGAATATATTGACAGAAAAATATCTTCGAACATTATACCATGCACTGATTGAGCCTCATCTCACATATGGTATATTAGCATGGGGAGCTGCATGTTCCTCACATATCTATAATTTAGATGTTTTTCAAAAAAGTATTCTAAAAATTATATTTAAAAAACCGAAACTTTATCCCACTGAAAAATTATACGCAGATGTTCGAATGTATGATATAAGACAGCTTTATTTCTTACACAGTATCACTCACTACCATAAATTTGTAAACACCGACCAAAAAATTAAACATAATCATTATACCAGGTACAAAATTCGTGGCACAGTAGTTCCTCAACCGCATAAATCTATAATGCAGCGATCATATCTCTATTTAGCGCCTAAATTTTATGAAATTATACCTAAAGACTTAAAAGATTTACGTTTCGGAAATTGTTTCAAAAGAAATTTAAAAAAGTGGCTACATTCTATATCTAGGACTGATATTCATAAACTCATAAATACGAACATCAACTAAATACATAATCTACTGTAGCTAATTTTTGTCTTTTTTGTCATTTGCATTCTACAGTTTCAACTTAAATTATTGGTCCATGTACAGGCGATGCCTTCTATTGGGCCTGTTTTGATTTTATATTTGTTTACTCATATTGTTTGTTATCTCTGTACATTGAGTGAATAAATATTATTATTATTAGTTCGCGTTTCAGTCTAACCAACTAGCAACTTGATGCTGTTTGGATTACGCCCCTCTAGACCCCAGTTTCTCTTGTCTCCACACTTCCTGCTTAGGTCCATCGTTTTTCTGAAAACCGATTGAATCACAAATGTCAGCCGACAGGATTTATTGACCTTTGAACTTTGACCCTTGGGTTCTATTAGAGTCGCGGGACTAATCTTCTTGTAGATTTTGATATCAGTAACATATAAGGCTTCCCAGTTACACACCGCGACCTTGAGCTATGTAAAGAGATGTGGATTTCCGAATCTGCCAACGGGCGTGCCTTCACTTGCCTTCTGATTCCTTCAGTAGACAAAAGAGGGAAAGTTTGAAGGCACAAATAACGAAACTAGGCGATCTGGCATCAGTGTCACCGCTCCCATCACGTCACGCCGAATTGTTTGTTTCCAAACATGACGTCCACCATTCAACGCCAGATCATCAACCTTCCTCGTAAGATTTTGCATTCTCCGATTTTTTAATTATTTTGTATTATTTTTTTGTGTGAAAATTTCCTACACTATTGTACAGTCAAATGGGAAATAAAGTGGAATCGTAAATCTTGAGTATAAGTTACAACAGAAACTTGAATGGTAATAATGAACTTAAATTATAAACCAAGATCTCGCCTCTATGTTTCTGGATTGAATTATTACTATTGCAACCGAATATCGGGCTTCCTTTAGCGCAGGTGGAGGGGGGAATACGCTAGACAACATGGCGCTTCAAAGGAAGAAGGTGTAAATATTTTTCAAGTTCGACTCCTAGAGCCACCACGATCTCCAATTGAACATGTCGGGGACATGATAGGTCGCAGGCTTTTGAATTTCCAACACCCTCCACAGACTTTGGCAGCTCTTACTCACGAAGTTGCAATAGCCTGGAATGAGATACCCCAACTGGATATCGAGCACGATGCCGAGGCGTGTCAATAAGTGTACAAGAAATCGTGGATCCTCAACACATTATTGCACCAGATTCTGCAGTCAGTTGACGAATCAAGCTGAAAATTTTATCATTTTACTAGTAGCCGACACTGAACACATATGCCGAAAACACTGGTCAACAAAATTTTAACTTTGTCGTGCCACACGGACTTTTTTGATATTTTTTACTTTAATTGGTGATTGTAAGAAAAAATAAACAGTTAAAAAAAATTTGCTAGACAAGGATTTTATTCTATTGAGTAATTTAAAATATTAAGAAAAAACACAGATCTCGTAAATCAAAAGTTATTTTTTTATAAATGACTTAATAATCTAAGATTTTCTTGAATATTTAGCTTCTGGTTGGTCCCTTTTAATTGTCCAGCAGTAATCTGCTAACATATTTGGGCTCCATTTGAACTGGTACCGCTTTTCCATATTAGAAATGTCCTGATGGAACCTCGCACCGTGCTCGTCGCTGACAGCCCCTAAATTGTCAGGAAAAAAATCCAGGTGCGAGTCTAAAAAGTGGATCTTAAGTGACATGTTGCAACCCAATGCTCGATATGACAATAATAGCTCGCTAACCAACTCTCTGTAGCTGTCACTCTTGTGGTTACCCAAAAAATTTGAAACAACATTTTTAAAAGCCTTCCATGCAGATGTTTCTAAATCGCTTAATTTTTCTTCAAATCTTGAATCTTTTATTAACTCCCTAATTTGAGGGCCAACAAAAATACCCTCTTTTATCTTTGCATCACTTATTTTAGGGAATTTTTCTTTTAGATACAAAAATCCATTCCCATTGCGATCCATTGCCTTCACAAAATTTTTTATTAATCCTAATTTGATATGCAATGGTGGTAGAAGCACATTATTTGGCTGTACAAGGGGTAAATACTTTACGTTTTTTTCTGCCCAGGAACTAACGATGCACGCATAGGCCATGTTTTTTTTATATAGTGATTAGTTCTGTCTCGGCTATCCCATTCACATAAAAAGCAGCAAAACTTTGTATAACCCAGCTGAAGTCCAAGTAATAGTGCAACAACTTTAAGATCACCGCAGATTTTGAAGGCATATGTACTGTAATTTATTTTTTCAAGTAAAAGTTTCATATTTTCATAGGTTTCTTTCATATTTGCAGCATGGGCCAGAGGTACAGACGGAAGCTTATTTCCATTATGCAATAACACTGCTTTTAGACTTGCTTTCGAAGAATCAATGAATAAACGCCACTGAGAGAGATCAAAATCTATGTCCAACATTTTCATAATCTCATTTATGTTATTGCAAAACACCAAATCTCCATCCTGAGAAAATACGTTCTGAAGTGTTGATCACGGTTTCGAAAATAGCTAACTTTTGTATTATGATGTAGCAAATTCCATTCTTTTAGACGTGATCCTAATAGTTCTGACTGCTTTTTTGACAAATTTAAATCCCGAACCAAATCATTTAGGTCTCCTTGAGTTATCAAATGTGGCTCGTTTACAATTCCTTTTAACTCAAAGTCATCGTCCTCGTCAACACATGCACCTGAAGTGGACGGTTGTGAATTGTTTTCAACAGACGTAGTTGCAACTGGTATTAGTTCTGGCAATTTTTTACAATGAGAGACTGGTCTTATAGCCGAAGATAAGTTAGGGTAAATAACTGTGGTTTTTTTCTTGTAATTTATACCTTTTATGTCTGTGAGACAAAAATAGCAATCTGAAACGTGATCTCGCTGTTCAGTCCATATCATGGGTACAGCAAACGGCATAGGTCATGCACCTTTTTTCCAGTCAGTTAAATTTTTCACACACGTTATGCAATAGACATGAGGGGCCCAGGATTTGTCTTGATGGGCGACAGAAAAACCAAAACATTGGTGATAACACTCCAACACAAGATTCGTAAAATTTCGTCGTTTTTTGCATGTTAGTTCTCCGCAGACATAACAAAAAGATTTAGGATCATTATTACACTTCCTCGACATATTCACAGGGTTAATAAATCACGAAAAAGTGTTCAAATTCAACAACAAATATTTTTATAAGGATTTACTTGTAAGCGTTTCTGTTAATTTACTGCCGTAGTACTAGTTATGAGTATTACCGTATCACAACAAATATGAGGCTAATAGACATATGACAGCTGTCATGTAATAATGAAGGTAGACTGATAAAACAAAATTAGCTGTCAAAGTTCGTGTGGCAAAACCAGTGTTGACCAGTGAAATTATTAAAATCGTAGGTGTTTACATTTTTTATCATTCGGTATACTTTTGTTGAAAAAATTCGAAAGCGATTCCCTTCATTAAGCACTTTGGTTTGGCATGCCACAATTGGTAGTTTGTATCGCGAAAAACAAACGAGTTATGCGAGAACTAAGAAAACACGTTCCATATAGGAATATATGACGGTGCCGAATGTAACTGAAGCCGGCTCTGTGTTCTTCGTATGTTGACTCCGGTGTGGCGACCGCGGACATAGCTCCGCGGTCGTGATCGTAATGAAGAGACGGTAGTGTAGTCTGTACGCGGCCGTTGTTGTTAGTGTGTTGTTGTTACTCCTGCAACATTACAATATACTACTATAACGAACGAATAAAGTGCGGTGTTTGGACCAATTTCGACCTAGTTTTGTTCTTCAATCATCGCGGAAATTAGTATTGTTTTTCCAACGTTAGAATTTATTATCGTAAAGTACCGCTTAGACAGAGTGCGCAGTATCGGTGACGTGTTCGGAAATATTGCATTTTTTTTTATTTCGAATTGATGCTGTTTTACCGGTGCGGATCCGGAGAGGGGTGGATTTTTATGAACTATGAATCCGGTTGGAATTTAGAAACCGATCCAGCATATTCGAATGAAAAGGTATGTGAAGCGAAGTCTGTTCAAAAATAGCCGAAACATCAGCGTAAAGCGAAATTCATTGCCAGAATCGATTCACTTTGTGTGTGTATACGAGCCCTAACACCAAATAGTTCGGATATTATCTAAGTTTATCTTAAAGTTTGTTTATTTTTTTAAGGTTACAAAATAGTTTTTTTCTTTTATAAGACATTATATTGTTTGGACATCATATTAACGAAATTATTATTATTATCTATAAACTATAAAACTAAACTAATATTGATAACAACGCAATATTTAGACTCGTTACGTCTCCCTTTGCCTTAATAACACAATTATGGATTGCTTAATTTGAATGTCTTCCCATATATTTTGTAATTTTACTTGTAAATCAGAAACGTTCCGTTGTGGATCATTTCTAAACTGCTGCTTCATTTTACGCCATACAGTTTGAATCAGGACTACTAGAAGGCCAGTGGAGGACGGAAATAATATCCTGCAACCATTTTTTCGTGATTTTTGGCCGTATGACATGATGTTAAAAAATAAAGTTTCTATCAGGTGATAAAATAGGAATTGACACTGGGAAATTGGTTTCAGGGATATTTTGATATTTAGCTGCCTTCACAGTTCCGTCTATGAAGTGGAGTTTTCCAACGCCAAAAGCAGATACGCTTCCCCATACCATTAAACCTGATGGAAACGTTACTTTTCTCTTTAGGCGGTCTTTATCAAGCGCTTCATTTTTGTTCCTCATAACCCGGGATCGGTGATCACCCACACAAACGTACCAATTTCGATTCATCGGTAAAAACGATCTTCTTCTAGTCTTCATAAGTCCACATTGCCCATTCCTTGGTCCAAGCTAATCGCATTTTCTTCTGTTTTTCCGTAAGAATCGTCTTTTCCTTTGCCTAAAGCAAAGATTTTACTGAATAAATATACCATATGTCCTTAAATACAACCTACGTACCTTATAAAAATGTAAACCAGACTGATGAATCCACCGACGGCACGTTTCTCGTGAAATACGAGTATTTCCTGCTGATTCTTTATTCCATTTTGCCGTTATGTCCCTTAAGTACCTCGACGACCAGCTTTACAAATACGAACAAGGCATCTATGCATTCTAGGACTGATCTTACATGGCCTACCCACACCGTGTTTTCAAACATGAGTTGAACCTGTGTCTCCATACTTTTTTACAATATCTGCCACTGTAGACTTTGTGGCATTTATTTATTTAGCAATATCCCGAAAACTCTTACCATGATGAAACAATTTTACGATTAAAACTCTGATTGCACCGTTTTTGGATTTACCACGCGACATTTCAAAGCAATTTGATCCACAGAATAACGATTCTTAAAGCAAAACGTCAAATTGTAAACACTTTTGTTTCCATGGCCTGCTGTTGTTTTAAATGTTGCGTTGTTATCAATATTAGTTTGATTTTACAGATTTGTTAATATCATGTGCAAACAAATTATTTCTTTGTCTTATAAAAGAAAAACAATTGGTTTTTAAACTTACAAAAATAAACAAATTTCTAGATAAAATTAGATAATGTCCGAACATTTTTGTGTTAGGGCTCTTAGCAGCTATCGGTTGGAGCTGTTTGCGTTTGGTAGCTCAGTCAGCATTGTGACCGCTAGATGCTCACGATTCTGGCGGTGTAGCATAATAGCGAGTAAACTACATCTACTATATCGCGCTTTGTATTGTCGATTTTGGAAAAAAAACGTATATGTGAAGTTACTTGTGTCTGACATTAAATTATACAATAACATATCACAATACTCGTATATCCGTAAACAGATTTGTTTGAAATTTGGTGCAATTCTGGCGCTTATTCAACTGTAACTAGAACTAGACATTATCTGGTCCAGTGGCACCTCAGTCATACTATTGAGAAAAAGATACTGTAATGACACTTTTTCCCATTTTTTTTTCTTTTTAGATTAGGCAACTAAAATTACAAGTTTTTGTTCTTATGTGTTTTCTTCATAACTAGCTTCGATTTAGTGAAGAAAAAAATAAATAAAAACTACTTCAATTCGTTGTAAAAACTATCCGGGAACACATAAATAATCAAAAATAAAAAATCAACAATTTAGACCCTATACTACAATTATTTAAAACTGTAATGACTCATACGCGTGATCAACACGTGATCAGAGCTCGATCCCGGCTTCCTTCCAGTACAGCCGTATAGCGTACGACATATGTCGTTTCTGTGGCTTTGCGGTGGTCAACAGCACAGACAGAGATAGAAATAATGGCTGATTGTTCTCCGCCGGTAGAACCAATGAAATCAAAGACGCGCCTCGACCGGCAGACTCATAGGCGTCGGCAACGCATTGGAACGTGTTTCGTTGAGCGATCGCATATTGTGTGTTTTTATAAGAATTGTTGTGTGATTGTTATTGTTGTGGTTTCTGTGGTTACTGTTTTGGTTATACTTAACCATGGAGAGTACAAATGGCACGAGTGGAAGTACTGAAAGCCAGGGAACAAGTATACGGCTTCGTAAAGCACTGAAGAGGGACGCGAAAGAAATCGTGCTCAACGTGTTCAATTATCTGAACAGAACTATGTCGCAAGGAGATGCACTCGCGCGTTGTGAAAGTATGACAGGCGTTCCAGAGTGGACCATTCGCAGGGTGGTGCATGAAAAGAAGAAAACTGGAACTACTACTGATCCAAAGTTTAATTTGAAGGGACGAAAGGCCGTTAAATTGGATGACGATAGCAAAATGGCGTTAAGGCGAACCGTACATTCATTCTTCTTTAGGAATGAGATACCAACCCTCAAGGCTGTACATGCAGCGATCAAGGAAAATGAAATTATACACCAAATGAGCGTCGAGGTAATGAGGAAATCCCTGCACGAAATTAATTTTCGTTACGAAACGCGTAATCGGAAGTCAGTATTGATAGAAAGACCTGAAATAGTCGCCTGGCGTCGAAAATACCTACGCGAAATGGTTGAATATAGGCGACAAAGCAGAAAAATCTATTATTTGGACGAGACATGGGTAAATGCAGGTCACACAGTTAAAAAAACCTGGATAGACAAAAACGTAGTGAGTAACCGACAAGCAAGCATTGAAGGTTTGTCAACAGGTCTTCGTGGACGGTCAGGGAAAGGTCAAAGATTGATCGTAACTCATATTGGTAGCGATAGTGGCTTTTTAGAAGAGTGTGACTTGATTTTCGACTCTAAGAAAGGAGGTGATTACTAAGACGAAATGAATGCCAGCTGCTTCGAGAGCTGGTTTCAAGGGGTGCGTCAGCGAGTTGAGCCCAACTCTGTGATCGTCATGGATAATGCTTCCTACCATAGTCGTCAAGCCGAACGTGTACCGACTATGAGATCTCGAAAAAGTGACATGCAGCAATGGTTGCGCGAAAAAGGAATCCCGTTTGACGATTCATGTGTGAAAGCGGAATTGTATGAAAAAATTAAACAGCATAAACCTGCGAACATTAGTTACGTGACTGATGAGATGGCCCGTCAATGTGGTGTCACTGTGCTGCGGTTACCGCCCTACCACTGTGAACTGAACCCAATAGAGCTCATCTGGGCTCAAGTGAAGGGTTATATTGCGCGCCATAACACAACCTTCAAATTACCAGACGTTAAGGGTTTACTTGAGACTTCCATACAGCTAGTAACGCCCGAAGCTTGGCAGAATGCTATCCGTCATGTTGTGAAGGAAGAAACAAAAATGTGGCAGCTTGACCACCACATCGACACCATCATAGAGCCAGTTATAGTCAATTTCAACGAGGAAAGCGATAGCGACAATTTATTACTGTCAGATGTAAGTGGAAGCGACGATGAATGAAGGTAATTCCCAAATTTTTGACTTACAATATGTTTCAAACCACTCTTTATTAAGCATGTGACAAATCTAGTTCACCCATGTTAAACATTCATACCCCGCCTATGAACAGCCGACTACTGGTAGTTAAGTGATGTTCACGTGAACATCGATGAGTCATTACAGTTTTAGATAGTTATAGTATAGTGAATGAGCATATTCCACCTTCTGAAAAAATACGCGACTGCAATCGAGTTGTTACTGAGTGTCTGACACGTTCAAGAATACTGCATCTGAGAAACGAAGCAATTCATGTTCATACGAACTTTTTCCTTAAAACTACCCAACGAGTCACCTTTTGAAGTTTCGTACCGTCGTTAGGAAAATATTTGAAAAGTATCCATGGCTTGCCGCGCATTTCCGAACGAATTTGTAGGCAAGGCCTTAATGGAAAGCGATTCCGTTGGATGCAAATGCCCTTCTGCCTTCAGGCACGTTTTCCTCCATTTTCCGCGGAAAAACGGGGCTTTTCATGCAACAGCCACTAGTGGAAATGGGCGGTAATTATTTTTCTTTTGTCGCGAACGGCGATTGCGACTACGCGCATTCATTTTATTCCGCTTTTAATTCGTAACAACGAAACGGCTGCACGCACATATTTTTGTGTATGATGATGTGCCCTTTAGCAATCGAAGCAATCCAATGTCATCGAAAACTTAGAATCATGGATTCGGGTTTCATGGACTGAAGACTTAATTTGAATTTAATGTATGTACCAAAAATTTAAAATAAGTTTGTTATGTTATTTTTTTTTGTTCTGTTATTGGCACTGGTCGATGACCAACTGGCCAGATCCTTATGTTCAGTATAATGCTATGCTTTAATAGAAA